CCTGCAATCCCCGCCAGACCCCAACAGGTGTATTTGGGGGGGTGGAGGCTTGCCCCGTGCTCCCCAAACCGCCCTGTCAGCATTTTTCCTGCAAAACGTGGGTTTTGGGATGGTTTTAACTTCACTTTTGGTGGAGGGGAAGCTTGAGAATCCCCGGACCCGCTTTGACACCCCGTGGGGCTTCGGGGTTTGCCGTGGATTTGGAGGGGTTCTGGCAGGGTTGTGGGATTCCCCGTTTCGTTTTGGGGTAAAATCACCCAAGTTTGGGTTATTTTCCAGCAGCAGACTCTTAAAATTGAAGAAAAAGAATAGCTTAAATGTAATAACTCTACATGGGTGCTGCTCAGTGCCGTCCCCCCGCCATGGCCTGTCTGGCGAGCACCAGCTTTGTTAAAACACCAAAAATCCAGGGGCAAACCCCCACTGATTTAATTACCCCCGCGGTAACGACCCCAGGGGCCAGGACACGGCAAACAGGAGGGCTCAGCGCCCCTCAAAACGCTGATTTTTACCCAGAAGTCATTTTTTTCGGCGAGGATTTTGTGGCAGAACCCGCTGCTCCCCTGCGACTTGGCCTCTTTGCTCTCCGTGGGGCTTCGTTATTATTAATTTCTGGGCAAAACTTGCCCGCTGTTGGTCGGTGAAGCTTCGTTATTGGGTGAAATAACCCAGATTTAGGGAAAAATCAGCTTTTTTGACGTTTTTTGCCACAGAGGAAGGAGAGCAAAGCCAAGGAGAAGAAGCAGAAGCGCCTGGAGGAGCGAGCAGCCATGGACGCCGTCTGCGCCAAGGTGGAAGCCGCCAACAAAGTGAGTGCTCGCCGGCGGGGCGAAAACCGGGGTAAAACCCCCCAGAATCGGTAAAAAGCCATCCCCAGGCGCCGAGCGGGAGCAAACCTTTCCCCGGGCGCCGTTCGGTTTCTTCCAGCTCACAGATCCCCTCGAAGCTTTCCCGGTTTTCAAGAGATACGACCGGAACGGGTGAGTTTTGCCCGTCGCGGCGTCA